CAAGCTCCATATAAATTTTGTGCGCATCTTTATGGCTTTGCAGACCTTAGGCGAGGTTCGTTTTCTAACATGATTTGTGTCGGATCCAAGCTTGTTTGGTCACACACACCGCCTGTGCGTGCATGTTCAATCGTCTGCGACTTATCCAACTTGCCTCTATACAAGGTAAAGTCATTCAGCTCGACCTCTCTTCTACTAGGTGCCAAGGTCACACAATACAATGAATCGTCTGCGACTTATCCAACTTGCCTCTATACAAGGCAAAGTCATTCAGCTCGACCTCTCTTCTACTAGGTGCCAAGGTCACACAATACAATGTTACATCCTAACACGTCTTCTTGGTTTCCAATTAACATGGCCCACATGTTTTGATGTCATCCTAAGTTATAAGATATCGTCAACCATCATAGCTCACACGGTTATGCCCATCAAGAATGGGTTTCATGTATCATTCATAGTACTAGGACATTTGGAACATCCATCAATCTAGATTCTATCGAGACATTGGACCTTCCCGCGTCAATGTCATATCATTTATGGACTTCGTACTAGATAGCGGATGTATGATCCTCTAACGTTTCGTTTAAACAAATAAAAAAAAGAAAAGTCGTCACTAGAGCCCAAGAATTCTAGTGAGGCGCCGAAGTTCTGGGGCAACACAATGTAGAGAGAGATTTCAAAAACATTTTTCGTCGAGACTAAACCACTTTGAGCATAAGCTCTCATGGCTTTGCTTTGGGCTACCCCAAAAGGCCTCATACGAATGGAGATAGTATTCTTCGCTTATAAACTCATGATTTTCCACTAAATTAACCAATGTGGGACTCACTCCCAATAATCCTCAACACAACCCACACCACGAAAGAGATTGTCGACGACTGTACGTACTTCTAATGTACATTTCACGCCTTAACAATGCCCATTCTACGTCGAACATGAAATTTGAGCCTCAAGTTGGTGGGAGTCTCATGAATCAGTCGATGTAGGTGTTTACAAGTCCAACCCGTGACACCTGCAGCCCAAGGATCATTCCAACCCAGTAACCCATTCGACCCACACCTGCAGCAGCTCGGCCCATTAACTGCATCAGACGATCCACCTTCAATAGTCCAATGTTGTTCCAGCCCACTTCTGTAGCAACCGCGACCACGCGCCCGCTTCCTCTAACCCGAACCCGCACCACGACTCGAGAAGCAAACGCGACGTGTCACTCTCTCATGGTGACACGGTCATCCCTACAACAATCAGTCCCTCGACTCCAGCAACTTGAATCGTCTTGGCTCGGTGGCTCGAAAACTCGTTTTCAACTCGGTTTGTGAATTCTAACATCGACCCCTACGTTTTTTACCCTCTACAACTAATTTTGACCCTAATTAAGATAATTAAGGTTACTACAATGCTCTGCTTCACAATTTTAAGTTAAATTTATATTAGAATTGTAAAATACTCCCATAGGGAAGTAGACAACCTAATATGAAATGAATCCCGAAACTTGAAATTAGAGGAACGGATTCCTTATTGTTTTTTGGATTCTTGGATAATTTAGATCTAAAAATCTTGTTTTTTAACAAGGTTGTTAGATTGAATTCCAAGAGTTTCATATTCAAAGACTTATTATAATTAGAGTGAGCTAGCATGGTTACTTAATTCTTGTTCTAAATGAAAGGGATTGAATTGGAGGTTTAATTTTCTAATTCTTACTGAAAATATTCTCTCTGATCACGGACTCTGAAAATATTCTCTCTGATCACGGACTCAGGCCTCAAAGTTGAATTTTAACTGTCTGATTCGATGAGTTATGTGTCGTCTACAACATATCTAAATTCATTGGTTTTCTGACACAATGGCATTTTTGTAATTTTCTAAAACTTCAAAGGTATTTACCAATTTCAAATTATTTTAATATTATTTTTGTAAAAATTCCAAAATTTTCGTAAAATTTCTTAACCGGGCTTTAATTCTTATGAAACCTTGCTTATAACCATCTTAGATTTCTGCTAACCTAAAGTCGCTACTATCATCGTAATATGTTCTTTTATGCGAAAAGTCGTACAACATTGTTATGGACTTGCATGTTTTCAAAGAAAGGTCTTGAAATAGTACAATCTAAATATTAAATAAAACAAAATAAATACTAAAAATGAACCTAGTCTATACTAACCTACAATCTAATGATTTATAAGTCACTATCATATACATGTGTTGTGGTTTTTACTTGCGATACAGTCGTCAGGTGCAAGGATACCTAAACAAATAGAAGTAACACATGTAGTGAGGTGCAAGGATACCTGAACAAATAGAAGTAACACATGACTTAAGTATCTTATGATATACTTAGTAAGTAATCCCACTATTGGAATGAGAAAATGCAAACACATACCACTCATGATTACAACCTATTGTTAATGCAACTCATGATTACGATCTATCGTCAAAACTATTATAGAAGTAGCCTCCAGTCTGGACAAAATTGGATGTATAATACTTCCTCACACGACCCACACATGCAAGCATGAATCCCCAGGCAGTTCGCACCCCCCTCGACCCATCATAGTCAAGCTAGTCGTCCCTAACTAGACATCCAGAGGTCAGCAAACTCTCGAATGCCTTGCTTCATCACATAGTATACTCGGCTGTACTCATCATCATAAATAAGAAAGTAACCGATATATATGAACACATAATATGCATGACATCTCTATCATTTCATCTTAAATTATTCTTATCACACAATCAGATAGATCAAATATGTAACGACCCGAAAAAAAAAAGAAAAAAAAGAGATAATAATAAGAATAAGTAAATAATAATTATTAAAAATAAATAATAATAATAAATAAATAAATAAATTATCACTCTCTCTCTCCACCTTCCCCAAATATCTCCCCAACACCTCCAACTACAAAGGGATCTGCAAAAGAAAGAAACAGAAGAGAAACAAAAAAAAATGGCTACTGGGAAGGAATGGCTTCACTCCAAGAAGATCTGATAGGAAGGGAAGAGATAGAAAATTTATGGGTAAGTTAGATCTCTTCTTTTATTTTTGCAGGAGATAGAAAAATTGTTTTAGATCTCTCTTTCTTTCAATTATTTAGATTTTTGGATCTCTTATCGGAAATCAAAATTGATTGAAAATGGTTTATCAATTGCATGAATCATCATTTTTAGGAAAGAGAAGAAAATCATAATTGATTGATGCATAGTCATTTTATGAAGGAAATTAGAATGGATTGTAAATGAATTTGATAGTCATTTGGGAAAGAAAAAGAAAAAAGAATAGATTGAAAATGGCTTTCTGTTAATTGGATAGTCATATTAGGAAAGGGAGGAGAACAATTGAAATTGTTTTATAATTGCATAATCATTTGTAGGAAGAAAAAAAATACAGAGAGAAGAGAACAAAGAGGTACAAGAAAAAAAATGGAAAATGTGAAAAATTATTATTGTTTGTATCAAGATAATATAATATTATAACAAACCATAGTTGGATTGAATGATTCAAAGCAGCATGAAATAATATTGACATATTTTCAATTTGAGTTTTAGAAAATTTAGAAACAATGAAAACTTGGAATTTGATTTTTACTAAGACCGTTTAGAGCCGTATTTCACATTGTTAGTTGGATTATTAATTAAAATGTGAAATACTAAAAAAAGGTGACGAACGGTGGGATATGAAGTGAACTCCAGCAACCTTTAGAGCAACTCTCGAGGAACGGGAGCTTACGTTAATTAAATTAGGGAGTACTTCGGCTAAGGCCAACCAGGTAAGTGGCCTTACTATAGGATAGGCTAAAAATTGTATGAGTTACGATGTTGTATGAACTATGTCGTATAATGCGGTATATGAGTTATGATGATGTATGACTTATGATGATGTGTGGGTTATGATACCTGATATGTGCTCAGTATATATATATTTTGATGAATGTCGTATTTGATATGTTTGATGCACTTTATGGCAATATGATGAGTATGATGATTGCGTGACGTTTACCTTAATATGATGATGTTTTCCATATTGAGCATGCTATATGATGATGAGTGCCATATTGCATCATGTCGTTAGATCAACATAGGACACAACCCTAAGAGCGTGAAAATGATATTAATATAAATATCCACGAGTATGTGTTATCTAGAATAACAAAGAGATGAGACTAGAGGGTTGTGTCAGAAGAGACATTATGATGGATTTAGAGGGACCTCATGCATATTGTATGTTCATAAGCATAGGGCTACTTCCCCTAGAGATGATGAGTGCGGACGCGCATCGTATGATGAGCGCGTATGCGCACAGGTGCGAAAGCACACAGATGAGGGTGTTCATGAGGTGCATGACACTATGGGGTTCCGCTGACCTCCGGACGTTGCTACAGATTAGCTTGACCAGAGGGTCCAGGGGGTGTGCGAGCGCCCTGGGGATTCACACTCGCACGTGTGAGTCGTGTGTAGGGAAGTACTACACATCCAATTTGTCCAAGACTGGAGGCCACCCCTAAGATGATTAGAGATAGGTCCCTAAATCATGATTGCATGTGTTTGCATTTGCATGGCCTCCTACAGTGGGGCCACTTACTGAGTATTCTTTGAAATACTCAGGCCGTGTGCCACATCATTTTTCAGGTAAAGGCAAGGCGCACTTGTACGGAGGACGGCGGCATCGCGAGCAGAGACTGTGGCACATGCATAGAGTAGACTCATATTTAAATTTCTAGTCTTAAGTTAGAATAGGTTGTTTTGCGTTTCATTGTTTTAAATTATTTTGTATTTGTTTTTGTTTTCTCTAAATTTCATATTTAAACACGTAAGACCATGGCTATGTTTTTCAGAGAAGTTGTTTTAAACGTTTTTTTAAAACTTTCGTCATCAATTATGTTCATGTAAGAGTTATATTTCCACATTATAAATGAGCATGAGACATTAGTAGCGACTCTGAGTATGTGAAAATTTAGGGTTGTTACAAAATAAGTTGTAATAACCAAAACTAAATAAAACGGTTAGGGAAGAAATATATACATTTAAGGTCGCAACGAAATAATACCATTTCAAGAATTAAAGGTCAAGAAAACAGAAAAAGGTTTGACAATGTGCTTGAAATGCTCAACAACATATGAGCAATTGACAAACAGCTTGAAGATGAAGAGCGCTGTTTGGTCAAGAGGTCCAACACATTGTTACATTCTGGCACAGCTACTCAATTTCAATGAGGAAAAGCTGCAGACACCAATACATCCATTCAACATCCTTCATATTCATATGAATCACTTTCATTTCAATTTCTAAGCCTAATCAATTCCAGAAAACCAGAGAAGTGGTAGCAAACAAAAAAATGAAGGACGAGAATGATAACTGGAGAGGTAGATGCAAGAGTATCTATCAATTATAGGCCAAGCACCTTGCTTCTTCAGACTCCAGCCCGCCCCACCATTCGAAGAGGCGAAATATTTTAGAAAGCATCAGCGAGTTAGGAAGTAAGAATAGAGTGGCTACTCTAAACCTGCAAATTAGTCATCTAAAATGTGAACAGATAATTATTGTCACCAAAAGTAAGGATTCTCATTTCATCAATGCAAGCTTCCACCGTTTGTACAGTCTTGACAGATAATATCAACGCATCTACTAGTGTACTTGAAATTGGTACAAATTGAGAAGGCGATACCGACTATTCAACTGCACGTACATGTCAATGCCGCCCACCATAGAAGATCGATCTGATTCCATGTCGTCAATGATGCCTATGGCGATCTTTATCACGTGAAGAATAAGATGAGCCATGGTAATCCCGATCTGAAAAGGAGCAAAAGGTTGCCGTCATATTCATATTAAAGACCACAGAGAAATAGGAGGAAGCTCCCTAAATATGTGTCAGGGAAAAACAAAACACAGACCAATACCTCGCGATGAGTGACGTCTCGATTTTTCCAAGTGTCCTCCTGCGATTATTATTGCAAATATTATTATTCAAATTCAACTTCGTGCATTCTATTGTCTCAAAGTGCAGGAAATAATCATATTCAGAAGTTAACCTAATTCCTTGCTCCTATCATTTGAGCGATGAGCTCGATCCTTGATTTTGTCTCTGTCTGCATCCTCCCTCTCACGTTCCCTGTCAGAATCTCGACCTCTATCCCGATCTCGAGACTTGGTTCTGTCTCTCTCCCTCGCTCTTTCCCTATCCCTGTCCCTTTCTCTCTCCTTGTTCCTTTCACCAGTCTCAGCCCTTCGATCAGATTTCGATTTTGGCAAAACTTCCTCCCTGGTAGTGGCTTCAAGCGGAATGCTCTTGGATTCGTCATCACTCTTCTTAGATTCCTTGAGCTTGTTTAAGGCTAATTTAAGCAACTCATCTTTGGACCCACCTGATTCATGATTATTTCCTGAGGTGGCTTTTACAGCATCATCGTTGGCTGTTGGGCTGCTTTGTGGAACTTCCTAAAAAATGAAGGATATGAAATTCAACTTATGCAGCTACTAAAAGATCAGGCAAAACTAGGCAGAACAGTTTTTTTTTCTTTTTTTTTTTTGGGGTGAAGAAACAATAAAAAAGTATATATATAATAAGCATAGCAAAAAAATTAAAACACCTTGGTCACGGGAAGAGATTGTGAATCCCATGACTTGTTAGAAAATGTAAATGAGTCTCCATCCTTGCAGACTGGGATATATTGTGCCTTAGGAAGGGTATACAAGTGTGCCAAAACTCGACAGACTTCATCAATTCCCGACTTGTCTGCATCAAATGCCTTCCACCAAGGTGGATTTTCAGGAAGGGGTACTTGGAATCTACGAGCAGCAGCATATACAACCCCACAAGCCACAACCTCGCTCTTGAATCGAACGCACAAGGTTGTACGCAAACTGTTCCATATAATGAAAAATTAAATTAACAAATTTTCTCATAGGATATATAAGAATATCTACATAAATTCTAAACATTTTATTGCCAGTTATATCCTGGTTAACACCATCAGGTACGTGAGGTACACGTATGCCATTTTCCCAAAGCTAGGTTATTTCTATTATCGGTTAAATGGACCATATAAACACACAAAAAACAGATAGAAGCAGGCCAAATAAAACTAAATTAGGTGTCACACCTAGCTTCACAGCTAGGATAAGAATATTTTAACTTTTTTTCTCAGATGACTAAGATGAAACTCAAGCTTCTTTCACACAAATGCAAGCACAAGAGAGACTTTAAGGGAGCCCAAAGGTTCCTTGACACAAATATACAACTGCCAAGTCTAATTCAGTCCAATCTCTTAAGTCTTACTATTCTAAAAGGCTCCCACACAAATGACCAAACTCCAGCCAAGTAGCTCATAGTCTATCAAACGCCCTATTTTCCATCTTGGTGGTGTTTTTATAGCCTTGCCTTGATTATTAGAAACTGAAAGGGTTTTTTGTAATATTACTTTCTCGGAAGGGGTTCTCACTATGCCTTGCTCTTAAGTTTCCTTTTGTCGGTATGAATATATGTTTCTCAGTTTTATATTTAGAAAACAAAATAATCCTCAATGAAAACAAGTTTAACTATTGAGGTTAAAAGCAAAGTTGGCCAGTAGATTAAAAGTAAATTCAAACACCATGACCACACCCAAGACCTCCTAAGAATTTCGGCAGGTACATAGGAGAAAAGGTAGAAGCAATAAACCTCACACCACCCAAGACAAAATGAAAAGGAAATCACCCCCAAAAAGGTGAAATTTTTCCAACGGAAAATAGCACTAGCACAAGTGAAAATCCACAAAAACAGAATGTTCTACGTAACTCTATTTCCAAGTTGGTGCTCATTACACAAGAAAGACAATGAATCACAAAACTACTTATTTATAAAGGGTACATGCTCATAATTTACGGACAAGAATTCTTAACGTCTTTGGATGGCATCTCACTTTTCCTAGGGAGGTAAAAGAGTTATTGGACATGGCCTTTAACATACCACCCCTTCAAGAGCGCAAAAGCCCAGCTATGGAAAAACCTCATTATAGCATTTTATAAAAAAATATATGGAAAGAACGAAATCAAAGAGCATTCATGGAGAAGACACATACTTATATCAAGCTCTTTGACAATGTTGTTTACCACACTATATCTTGGTATAATGTGTCTGATACTTTTGCTTCCTATAGTCATACCTCCCCCATTGTAAATTGGGAAGGTCCTTTGAATCGTCATGGATAACACATCCTTTATGTAAATTTCAAACCTCTATGGAATTGTCACTTATAAAAAAATGAATTTTATGCCTAAACTTTCTATTTCGTTGTCTAGGAGGTCTATGAAGAAATTATGAATAAGTTAATGACCTATTAGACACAAAATTAAGAGTTCAAAAACTTATTAGACATTTGGAAGTTCAGGAACTAAATAGAAATAACTAAAAAGTTGAATAACTAAACATGTAACTTATATTCCAATTCACCAAATAACAATATCCCAATTTAATGTATCTATGTAGAGATGCAATGCATACATGCACACAACACATGCAATATAAACAAGGCAACCCTTACGATATAATCTAAATTTCCAATCAATTTCAATGATTTAGCTCTACGTTCCCAAAAATAACCATTTTAACATGTGCTACTTTTATTTCCTTGTCAATTACTTATCCTAGTTATAAAGAGAATTTTTTAAAACGGAAAACCAGAATCGAAGTGACTTCAAATATTGACAAACTCTACGTTAAAACCTCTCAAAAAAAGTAAAGAACAGTGATTTACTACAGTAAGACGGCGATCTTTTTAATATGAGAATGCCTAATTAATGTCTCCAATTTCCACGACCTTGAACTGAGAGAAAAGAGAAGTACAAAAATAGTTGAATCAACGTTCAATAGGATTAACTGTGTTAACTGTAACTCGAAAGCAGTTTAATGAAAATTAACACGGAAATGAAACTTTTGATTAAACTTCTGACTATTATTATACCTGTCGTTGGCTAGATTCCAAGCTTCTTGCCTCAGTTCTGGAGGTGTTCCAAGGGTTGCAAGGTAGTTAGATATGAATTTATGCGGATGTTCAACATGACAAATGAAACCCATCTCTTTCAATATATGCCTCTCAGTTCTGCTCAGCTCCGTCTTCAAGTCTGCGTATTTCTGTATGAAACAAAACAAAATAATTAAAATGTTGAATAACATTATAAAATAAAATAAAATAAAATAAAATAACTAGGAGGTTAGTTAAGTGAAAATTTTAAAAAGTACTAGCCAAGAAGAGGACAGAATCAATAATATGTGAATATAATAGCAAAGCTAGATTCCAGATAATTTTATAGGACAAAAAAAACAATGATTTCAAACCTTTTGTTTTACTTTTTTGTGCAATGAACGACGAACACTTTGATTAAAAACGAAGAAAATACTGATCCTAAGATTCAAAAATGGAAACTGAGGATAAAAAGATCAAATTGAGACCTTGAGAGTAGGGTCCAAGAACTCTATCGATAAGTTCTCTCTCCTACATTCCATTCTGTGAAAAACAATAATTACTTGTCTGGCTTTCCTAGGGTTTTCCTCCAACTTTGAAGCAAGCCACACACAACTAGAAGCAACTTTCTGCAAGAAAGTATCATAAAACAATAAAGCATCACATCAGAATTTTTTTTTATATGAAACATATCATAAGAATTAAAAATAACTTTAAAAGAAAAAGGAATCAAAATGTACAACCTTGACTTCTTTTTTTATTTTTCTTTTTTTTTTTTTTTTTTTTTTTTTTTTTTTTTTTTTTTTTTTTTTTTTTGGTAATGAAACAACCATAAAGCCATGGAACAACTGAAATCCTTAGCCCTTTAATGAGCTCAATACAACAACTTAAGTGTAAGCAGATGTGAAGTCTTCTGAAAAATGGAAGACCATAAACATGCACAAAAAAAAATTATTTGTTTTGGATGATCAACCAATTCTTAAAAGAATGGACGGTTTAGAGAGAGGGGAAGAGAGATCTAAGAAGGCAGGAGTCAAACGAGAATAGAAAAGACATCTAGCAGGTCATAATAGACAAATGGAGAAAAACAAATAATTAGAAGAGACTAATCCAAGTAGAATTTAAATAGTATTTTCTTTTCATTCCATTAAATAAGTTTTCTTCTTCGGGCGTTGAATTCAATTAAGAAAGTAGAACTTAACTAGTCCAATTTTATATATATATATACAAACACATAAAAATTAATAATTGAAACAAAATAACCTTGACATGGAAGCGGGCAAATGATTTCTTGCAATAGAATCGATGGAACAGAACTTGTCCAGTAGCCATGACTGCCTGAGGCCTGAAAGAAGCAATGTTTTAAAAAAATACTACTCAAGTAGTATATACACACACTTGTTCCCATGCCATAAAGAAAAACCATGAAATAGTTTAATGCATGACATTACAATTTAAGCAATATGCCAGCTTCCTGGATGAGATCACAACCGTAGATTCTCAGGGTGGTTTCAGTGACTTCATCAATCCCATCCTTTCTCGAAGGTGAGTCCTTCAACTGCTCATCACTTAGATAAAATGTGTCGATGGCCGTGTAAATCATCGAACCTGTGGATTAAGGAAAAAACTAGCTGACATCACAACAACCTCTCAAATAGAAATCACCAGGTACAATTGATGGAAACCAATTTGTTTCTAGTTTAGTTTTCATAATTAAGCCTTTAATCTCGAGTCCTCCAGAATCCTCTCAAATATGAAATAACAATAATAATAATAAGCAATAACCAGCTTTCCAAAATAAACAAGAAAAAAAATGGAACAACCATGAGAGATTGAGGTGCGAAATTCAAGAAACAAGCTAATATTAAGATCTATCCAAATTAAAAGTAACAAAGATGCATATACAAGAATCAATCCAATTAACATTTTCAAATGTAAAAACTTAAATTCCATAAGTGCGCAGCAAACACAATGAACGTTGTTCAGAGATAGATGACAATGTAAGTAAACAGAAACTAAAATTAAAAACAGCAAAAAAAAAAAAAAACTACATAATACTGATTACCAAAAGGTGGCGAAAAAACCATGGATCTCAGTCACCTAATTCCTTGCTGCATAACTACAAGAGAGAAAGAGATGGCTTCGTGTTTTCACTTACTTCATACATAGTGAGAATGATTGAGGGGAGATGAACTTATAGGGTATACAGTGTTAAGGCTTGCCAAAAGTGTTGTTGACCCAAGGACTCAATTCCCAAAGAAAGAATTTAATCTATTTTGGGTATTGGTCTTTCCATATAGAATCATATAATGAGTGTGTTGAATCACATCTAGAGCCCATATCAAGGAGTAAAAGATGTGGTAGGAAAAAACCTTGGTCCTTTTAGCTTCAAGCACCAACGATTGTCTGAATGAAAGAGAAGAGTGTTTGAAAGTAAGTGTGTGAGGACAGCCCATTCCAAAATATCAACCTCTTTAAGGTTTCTTCACAGAAACAAATCCCAATAGCCATCCTCTGCCTGCCGTAGACAAAAATTCGAGGCATGTTTATTCAGAGAAGGGGGAAACAGGAAGACGGGAACTTCTAGCAGCAACCAATCAGCCAAAAAGATGTAAAATGTCCATTTCCCACTCGCAGCTCATGTGATCATATATTAGGTCTTGATGGTTTAAAATATTTCTCCAAGGGTCCTGGACACTGGCTAGGGATCTCCTTCCAAGTTTCAAATTCCATCAGAGAGGCTCACAGTTGGCATCAATTATCTTCCTGCAAAGAGCATCTTTTTTCTTCTGATAACGTTATAACATATGGCTAAAAGGACCTCTTTCTCTTCATGCTGCAAGTATCGAGGCCACCTTACTTATGAGGGAGGAGAACATTTTCCCATTTGGCAAGGTGAAAACTATCGCTATTTAAATTTCCTTTCAAAAGATATGTTCTTCCAAGTTCTGCATTATCTTATATGGAAGCATCTTCCCTAGGCAATGAAGAATGTGTTCAGTTGAGTCCAAGATGAATGAGGGGCAATCACAGTCAAGGCTGTGTCTTTTGACTCTTCATATGAGTAGAAGATGAATGTGGGGAAATTGCACTAAAGTTTTATAAGAGTTAGATGGGTCTTCAAGACTATGGGCAGGGTGGTTGGGAGGGTTCTTTATACCAGAATAGCTTAGGCAGGTAGGTGGTTGAGTATTAGGCTATAAAAAGAACTCCAGCCCGTACTTTCATCACCAGATGGTATCAAAAGCTTGCTGGATCCCCACTGTTGTCAAGCTTGGCTTTCTTCGCTAAGAAACATTTTCTATTGGAGGTCTTCGACTCTTCTTTATCCATAAGGTCTAGTCATCAAACATTAATTCTTTAAAGAGTTTTTCGTTGAAGGGAGCAGAGAAAGTTATAGATGACATCTGCAATCCATTTTAAGGATGACAAACAGATTGAAATGAAAGAAGAACTGGTCTTTAGTGGTATCTCTATCTATAATTTTCGCTCTGTCTCCTTGAATTGGTACTTTTCACCGTATAAAACTACGTCCTGGATACTAAGCAACTCACAATGTGGATCATTGGCCGTTACTATTTATACCTTAGGCCCTCATACTTAACTCCTCAAAATGTAAAATGCTTCTTCCCTTTCTCAGCTAAGACATCAAGTTTTTGACATAATCAATAACTCATACTCAGATACATATTTCCCAAACAAATTTTCAGCATGCTTTCTGGACAGGAGTAAACAACACTCAACATTCATTTAGCTAAGATATCCAGCATACATCACATTAATCTCTAAAATCAACAATAGCAAACATAACTAACTATTTCAGAACATTCAAACAATCAGAGGCATCAAATAAGCAGAGAACAAAATCGTACAGTGTATGACCCACTCACCTTAATCCTTTCACGAACTAAGATTCTACTGATCCAAAGTTCTGCCGCAGCCTAATTCAATTCAAGAGCATGGTTTCCAAGAATTAACAACTAAATAAACAAATTTCTAAAGTAGACCAACCCAGTCAACCCTAATAAGTGAATAATAAATATTTTACCGCTAAAACCGAGTGAGTCTTGGCTAGTTTGTGCACAAACCTGACGAGGTTGGAAGCTGCGTTAGCTCTAAGTGCAGGTCGCCGGAAGGACAGATTCGCGAGAGAGAGAGAGATTGCCAAGGGGAGTTTGCACGCGTCAGAGAGATTGCGCAAAAGGAGGTCGTGCCGCCACTTTGCACACCGGAGTAGGTTGCGCTGCCGTGTAGTGGATCTTGCCGGAAGAGCCGCGCCGCTAAACTGCTACCAACGGCGGGGAGAGGGGCACGCCGGTGTCGGAGAGGATGAATGCGGGATTAAAGGTGGGATAGACGCGTTCAAGGAAAGAGGAAATCAGTTTTTTGAGTAAATGACCGACAATTCGGCGTATTACCTAAAATACCCTTATTCTTTAGCAAATTTACAAAACTAACATGTTTTCTTTAATTTTCTTTTCTTTTTTTTTAACGAGAAATACAGTATATCAATTTTTGTATAAATAATATTTAAAAAGTATTTAGAATACTTTTAGGTTTATTAATTTAAAAATATTTATAAATCATTAATTTTTTTATTTTATATCTAATAAATTCACATCTAATAAATTTTAAAATAATTAATTAATATATTAGAGAATAAATTTTCTATTTAATACAAGTTTATTAGACTAACTTCAATGGAGAGAGTATTCTTGGACTATATAAACTCATGATTATTCCCTAAATTAGCCAATGTGGGACTTTCATTTTTATTATAAACTCATGATCATTCCCTAAATTAGTCGATGTGGGTCTTTCATCTTTCATCCAACACCTCCCCTCGAACAAAATGCGCCTCCCCTAATGTGGGACTTTCATCTTTCATCCAACACCTCCCCTCGAACAAAGTGTGTCTCCCCTTAATCGAGGCTCGACTTCTTTTTGTTTCGGAGTCTTAGTCATTTTTTACTATGCCTTCAAGGCCGGAGGCTCGACTCCTTTTTCTTTTGGAGTCCTTTGTTTGACATGGCTAAGTTTAGGGCATGGCTCTGATACCATATTAGATGAACACGACTCTCCACAATGGTATGATATTGTCCACTTTGAGCATAAGCTCTCATGCCTTTGCTTTGGGCTTCCCAAAAACCCTCGTCCCAATGGAAAGAGTATTATTTGATTATAAACTCATGATCATTCCCTAAATTAGCCGACGTGGGACTTTCATCCAACGGTCATAATCTTTTACCCTCAATTTTTTCATGGGATATTTATTTAGAGTACGGGTATATAGAAAATTTGATGACATCTTCTTTGGATATGCAATGGAGATTGCATAATCAGTCATTCGGAAATGGTAAGATCTTTGGCACAAGAAGAACGGGTTGATCCATATCTTCTTGACTGAGTTCTGATTTCTCTATTTTTTTTAATAATACCGAGTTGGGTTCTTTTTCTACCCGTATCGAATAGAACATGCTGAGCCAAATCTTCTTATGTAAAACCTGCTTTATTTAAATTGGAAAAATCGTACGATTTTATGATACCGTGCCTTCAAAACTGTCTATAAGACAATTGTGGGATTATGGAAGAGTAGTAAAGTTAGTTTACAACACTTTAGGAATTGAGGTTGCTAGGCATAAATGTTGCATATTCAAGGGTAGGATACTCTTAATAAGAAACAAAATAGTTAAAATAATAATAATAATAATAAATAAATAAATAAACAAAAAGGAGGAAGACAATGATCAAATTTTGGAGAGTATGCTCGGCAAACAAGGAAAGTGGCCCATCGGTGTGCGAACTGACTGGTGAGTCCGTACTCGCACATATGGGCTGTGTGTAGAGTATATGATACATATCCAAGTTACTTGTTAGGACAGTACCGTGAAAAATAGATTGAAAGGATAGATCTCGTCATTGCATTTGCATGTTCTTGCATTTAACTCCCATAATGGGGTCACTTACTGCGTATTTCTTTAAATACTCAAGCTATGTGCTACTACATTTTTTAGGTTAAGGCGAGACATCCTTGTACGGCTGACGACGACATCACAAGTCGAGACCATGACACATGCATAGGGTAATCGCATTTATTTTCTTAGATTTAGGCTAGATAGGATGTTCTTAATTTAAACATTTATTTATTTTATTTAGTTTTTTGTTGTGTTGTTTTTTTAAAAGGTGTTTTGGAAACACGTAAGTTCATGGCTGTGTTTTAAGATAAAGGTTATGTTTTATAAAATTTAAATGAAGTTTTCCGCATTCAATGTTTATGGTATGTATACAGTAGCAACCTTAAATTAAGTAGAAAATTTCGGTTCGTTACAATACCATCCATAAGAAAAAAGAAAGGAAAGGTAAAGCTCCTTCACTTAACTGATTAGATTAGATTGAACTCTTTTACTCTAGAGGTAAAACACTATGTTTGCGAACCGGCCAGCAACTTCCGTACACAGAGATAGATTCATTCTTCGTACCTGGTACAACTTCACATGAATAGTGTTTAGAATCAAACTTAACTGCTTCGAAACCTTTGTCGAAAGAGAACCCAGGTACCTATTTCATTCGCTCCTTAACCCTTTCCTTATTAAGCTTTTCTCTCTCGCCCGTGACTGAACACCTCTTCAACATCTAGAAAAAGGCCCTGCATTGGACTGATTGAACTTACTCTCCTGGGGCAGCTTGGCACCGGGAGATATAGGCGTAGCGCAGGGCAGTCTCAAGGTGAAATAGTATTAATTAGATAGTTCTAAGTGACATTTGAGAGCAATAGGATAAGTCTCATCCCAGTGGAAGAGTTGTTATGAGATGACTCAATCTATACAAGGACTTAATTGAAGTCTAAGTTGTCATGCTAGATGACAACGTTGAAGGCTTATTACCCTCAAAATAGGTACGAGGGATGATGACAAAGGATAAATAAGTGAATGGATCTACAAAAGGAAAATTATGTATAGATAAGAATATATAGATCTTCAGAGTAAGACTTATGGCAAAGCGTTGAACTGTCACACCCTAAATTTCGAGGCGTCAAAATACTAGATGTGACTCACAAACTATGTAGTGCATGATGAAAGTACGACAGACGTTTATTATACTGTAGTACATGTACATTTCGAAAAATGGGGAACGAGGTAGGGATACATTGTCTATAAAGACATGTGAACTAGTAAACTCGTGGACTCTATAGACAAACCAAGCCGACATTCCTTTGTGACTGCTGAGTGTCACAGTCTCACTGAGAGAAAGTAGGTTGTGACCCGCACATGCAAGATAAACAAAGGGCAACCCACAAGTGCCGCCCATCTGACCACGTGAGAGCCAAGATTAAGAAATGTCTTGATGCAACTGAGGAGGACGGTGCATCATCCAACACACCAAGAGTGTGCATTCAAGATGCTGCTACATACTCAGCTTCACACGTAGAGAGGGCCAAGATACTTATACCAAGAAAGAAATCAAAGAGCATTCACGGAGAAGACAGGAGAATAGGGTCTCACCCTCTGTTCATCTCTCACAAATCCATAACACTTGTCTTCTAGAGGTGTTCCGTCCTAGGTAATAGACTAGTCAAACAATCCAATGTGCCCTGGTTTAAGGTCATTCTTACCGTTAATCCTCTAGAGGGAGAATCACATATTCATACACATGGAGCTAACGTACATTCAAACATGCAAGCAGACAAACAAATGCTCAACGAGACGATAACATCCATCAAGCATCCCGAACACAAATTTCACAAAATCACGTCCTCCAACACAGTATGATATTGGTACTTGTAGTATAGAATGACACCATACGACAAACGAGATCTAACACATCCATTTTTTCATATAGAAGCATGTAATTGCGCATTTGTTCCATATTCGTAGGTACAGGTCATGCTAATTTATCCCTAGGGTTGGTTTTTCTAGCATGCATGCAAATCTAAGCGATTCCTACACGTATTATTTCCTAGAAGTCCATGTTTACAAGTTTGACGGGTGCCTTCCCGAGCTTCGATTACTAGTCATACGGGAGTCCAAAAATTTCAAATTCCCCTTGGAGATACCTAATTCACATTACAATAAGGTTAATGTCGAAATCGAGACAGAAAACTAACAAATGGGCATCAAGTGAGTGTGAAATAGGGGTCTCATGCACATGCATCAAATACGTGCGGTCAGGCCCTCCTTTTTTAAGCCCTAGCAGACACAATCTTTACCTTCAAATTTTTATGGTTACAATACGTGTCAAACGTGACTTAGATAAGCAGTATCTTAGCTCAATGCGCGGATCTTGTCGCTTGACAAAATAATAATTCACCCTAGAGATGAGATTTGTCGCTCGACAGATCTGCAACTCCAGAAAATGGTGAAACCGAACCTTCGAACCCAAATTGGGTTCACAAGCAACTAAAGTACTATAAAGAACTCTTAGACCTCCCTAGATGCTCAGATAACGGTAGCATAAGCCCCAACTTCCTAAACCTTAGAATAAATCCCGTGGATATTTACTAGGTTTAGGGTGTGATGCAAGCCCACAGATAGGTTGATTGCTTTTCAGGTGTTCGATGGTTGCCCGTCAAGGTGGAGGAGTGTTCGAATTCTGTGCAATCACAGACCGGTTGTTCCGAATGATTAGTTCATTTTTTATATTTTGTTTTTTAATTTTTATTTCACTTTATTATTATTATTTTTTTAATATTTTAAAGAAATAAAAAATAAATTTGGAGGCGGGAATAGGAAGAGAGAAGGCCCGCCCCATGACATCCAAATTCACTCACCAAACTAACTAACAATAACACGTTCTCCGGAAGAATCGTCTCTAGGAAGGTCCGGGTCGTAATGAAACGCACAAACCTCAAACCAAGAAAATAATCTAACAAGCAAATAAATCTACAAAACATGGAGATACTTCTCTGAGAAGGGAGAAGAAGAAGCAAGAATACGCAGAAGATGATGTCCGGTGGTAACTACACGACTATAGATAACCAAAATGTTTCAGGATCTGTTCCCGTAAGCTTCTCGCCTCTTTAGCTTTCTTGTAATTTTTTTTGTTTGTTTGTTTTGGAGAGAAGTTATCGAATCTGCAGCATTTTTTTTTTAATCTGATCTACTCGGTTGATTTCTCCGGTTTCTGTGTATTTTGATTTCCAGGCTGTTCCAGATCAGGGACAGATAGCCGTTAAATTCACTGGTAAGTAGTTTCCTTTTTCTGATAACGTTTTATGGATTCTAAGAAGGTATGGGCGAAGAAATGAAAGGTTTATGAGATTGAGTGTTAAATTTTGCGTGTGCAAGGGATTAAGATCACAAGCAACTAGAAAATCGTTCGTGTTGAGTTTTTCTATTATTATTTTTATTTCCGGTTCGTTTTCTTACCGGACAAATGTAGGTAGGAAAAAGAATCAAAGCTTCTTATAGGAGGTTTATGCTCTTAAGGATCCAAAATTGACGTATTATTGGAATGAAATTTGAGGACCAAGTGGTTGAACTTAAGCATGGCAGACTGGCCTATGTTAGATCTAACTATATATAGCGAATTCAGTATGGAAAGGGAAAGAGGTTGAATATTAATTTTCACTGGGCTAGAAGCACCATTGAATGAAATTTTGACTAACATCTTATATTGCAGGAATGATATCGATGTAAATACTGAGTGAAATTTAGATTAATCATAAATTATGAGGATTGAAATCAAGTATTAGAGTTTCATTTTGATCCACGGACTGTTGTTTTTTTTGGCTATTTGTTGCAAGATAATAACTGACTGATTTGTTGTTGTAGAGTCAAATCTTCAAACGTTTCCTCCTTCCGGAACTCAAGGAAAGATCGCTGGTGGATTCCAGCCACCTCGTGATGCTGATGGTATTTAAAGATCTTTCTTCAGCTTTTTATCTCAGCATTGTTTTTTAACTTATTCTAATTAGATATGAGAAGCTGATTCTACTGTTAAATCTCTCTAGTTGTTTCGCTGATCAAGACAAATATAAGATGCTATCTTCTAGACTTAGATTGAGAGACACTAAAATTTTTAGGACTTGTCCAACGAACTCTCCCCTGTTGTGTCTAAAAGTATTTTTAGATAATGAACTTACCACTGTATTATTCGTTTCGTCTTTTGAGACTTCTTCAACTATTGACTTTTCCTTTATATTCTTTATGTTAAGTTTATGCTTCATTTAGCATGGTGGTCAGTTTTAGTTGAGAAGTTCATGATATGATCCCATTGAGATGTGTATCTTTCATTTATTTCTTCGTGTTAATTAGTAATTCATTGCATTATATTTCCTGAAACTTCATTTCGTTATTTGTAATAGGTGGTTCTTCTATTTAAGAAACCTTATTCCACGCATAGAAAATAGGACAAAATTATAATTTTCTCTTGATTTTTTGAGCATGGTATCGTAGTTGAAAACCGTAAATCCCTAGAATTAGCTCCAACTCTAGCCGTCGCTACTGTTGTTCATCCGCATCTCCCATGCCACTTTCAGATGAGTTTGTGGGTGCTTGAATATGCGACTGCTCACTCTGTGCACGACCGTGTGCATTCATTTCTATCACGTCTGTATGCATTTCGACTGTCACATCTGTACCGTTAATAAGTCATGCCGCCATCTTCGTGTTGTCTGCTTCGTCGTTTGGCCTTTTTTTTTTTTTCTTGCGTGTTGGCTACTATTTCTTTGGGGTTTTTGGTTTTTTCTACTTTATTGTTTGTTTTTGTTTGACCATTTTGGTATATGGTTTTGGTTTAGTTTCAAATTGGTAACTTAAGCAACTTTGATACGAAAGTAAGTCATCTATTGCTAAATACTCAGATAATTGCATCCAATTCAATAGTCCTACTGTCCAAATCACCTCCGTTTGGTTTAATGTGGTTAACTTTCTTTACTAGCAACAAGAGCGCACCTGCCAAAGATGATCCTTCATTTGACAAGTGATATGTTGAAATTTCCATGGTGGAAGACATTAGTTGTTTTGATATCTGTTACTATGAAATAAATATGGGATGGTTTGACGTAGATGTATTTAGATTTGCGCATTCTATCAATCAAGAGAGTGAAAAGTAGGAAGAGAGTGAGGAAGCTTGGGTGAGACATGAAAATGAAGGGGGAAAAAGTATTATTGATCACCTATTACCTATCAAGACTAGCAACCTCTTTTACTCTTTCAGTGATCACTCCTAGGTTGTAATGTACATGAACCAAAGATGTCATTAGCTCTCCCATCACTAAAGATCATATCTCCTTTCCAATGGTTCACGATATCAAATCTGATGTTAATATGAGCCGTGAGGAATTTAAAGCACATTGTTGATATAGAGATTGATGAATTTTCTTTTGAAAACTCTTTTGCAGAAACATTAGTATTTTTTCAGCTGTTGATAAAAGGAGTTCAGTTGAAGTTTTGCAATCAGCAGTATCATTAGCCAAATATCCTTCAATTCCTCCAAATTTATTTGCTTAATTGAGGTTTGTGGATTACAGATGTAAGAAACCCCTCCTTAGTCACCACAAACTAAGATCTAATTGTGTTTCACTCATCCGTATTTGCAAAAAGGATTGTTCTTAGATGTCAGATCTCTTCCTTCCCCTGCCAATCTTTTTTGCTTGGAGCCGAGTGTTCTTGGCCTTTATTTCGATGTTTTGATTGGATAATTATTTTAGGCTCTTTGTTGAAGAGGATTTAGTATTAGTTGGATTATTATTTATATCCTTTTTTGTTGGTCGACTTCAATCGGTTAGCTCAGCTCTTTGGCTTGGTTTTCTCACCCTTGGGGGATATCCAAACTTAAAAGATAATTTTTGGGACACTTCTCTTCTTCCTAACGTCATAATGAGAATAGAGGATCTATTTCTTTGAGGGAGAAACACTACAAAGTGATCTAACTGGTTGAGATCATAAACTTCAAGTTTATGTTAAAAGGGCATTGAATCAAAAGAATCAGAACTAGGCAGTAGATTTATCACATTACCATTCTAATGCTTTATCGAATGGTTCTGTAGATTAAGGTCATAGATCCTTTATTGTCATTTCTTCATCTAGCCATAACAAATTTATTTGATGTTTCTTATCTTGATATTCTCATAGCTCATATGACAGATACTAGTAATTGTATAAAATACCCAAATGCAAACTATCTTTCTTACCATAGTCATAGAACCTAAACTTTTAGGATAAAACCAACCTATTTGTTTGAAGGAATATACAAGGCTCTAAATGATTGAATCAGAAATTAACCGTCAGACCAGAGATGAATTGATAAGGAATCACTCCAATGAAAAGTAAGATTCAAATTACCCTTGTTGATCAAATATTCAAGCAAGAGTAGTCATGCCAAGTCTGAATAATACTAAATATGTAACCTAAATTACATAGAATTGCAATAAAATATTTAGCCTTTAGCTAAAGGAAAGTATAAAAGCAATTTTTATTGCATTTTCCAAGTCTACTTTACAAAAACAAGATACTATATAGCCTGAAAAATAAAATCCATTTCTGAGTCAAGAGTTGTCTTCTAGATTATCTTTAAAATAACTTTAAAATAAATAAAAAGTTTAAAAATACATTACTGAAATACAAATACAATATCTCTAGATTATCTTCTATCCAAAATTTATAACCATCCAAGAATCTTCCCGTGATTGAAATGTCTTGGTTCATATCATTCTCTATCTCTTCCAGAAGATTCCTTATATATATTTGTGACATTTTGATGCAAAAATAAGAAAACATAAACAAACTCCAACACTCTCACGTGTGTACACTTAAAGAAATTACTCATTTACACAAATTAAGTTCTCATTCTCACCTCTCAAAATTTTCAATAAAGCCAAGATTGGATTTTAAACCCTGGGTCTGAAAACTAAAAAAATAAAATAAATAAAAATTAAATTGAAAAGAAGGAAACATATATCCGATTTTGGGTCTAAGGCTTTGATAGCAAATGATAAAGAATCACTTCAAGGGAAAGTAAGATTCAGATTACGTCACAGGCAAAATCAATCATGTCAAGAATGATTCTAAACATGCCATCTAAACTATATATAATTGAAAAGAAACTTAACCCTTAGCTAAAAGAAAGCACGAATGCTTTTTTTACTATATTTTCCAATTGCAAGGATATTACATGGTTTTATTTTATAGTCCAAAATAAAACCCTTCCATGAGGTATTTATATAGCCTAAAATTAAAGCCTTCTATGAGATGTTTGAAGAGTTGTAACTTTCATATTTTTTTGACCATAATTAGCCACTATGTAACCTTAAAATAAATAAAAAGTCTTGAAATACATGAATGAAATCTCTAAATTATCATCCACCCAAAATTTGTAACCATAGCAAATGAAACTCATCTTCTTTGAAGTTTATATTACATGATTGAAATGTCTGGGTTCATATCAATAAGTGATATTTATGGACTTGTCAACTAGTTTGAGGTGGATCTCAAGATCAATGAAACGTGCAAGTTAAAGCAATCTTTATACGACTTTAAACATTCTTCTAGAGCTTGGTTTGGACATTTTTTAAAAGTAGTCATGAGCTATGAATTTCAAAACTATGCAATTCTTGTCTCTTGCGATATATTGTAACAAAGCTTGACGTTTGAACTTAATAGATAAGTGTATCTGATGCAGATACATTTTCAAAACCTATCTCTGGTTCTGATGAACCCCCCCAACAGGCTGGTGGCTGGCTTCAGACCTTCTCAATTTCTTCCTACAAACAATATTTTGATGTCGATACTTCAGACGTTCTAGAGAGGATCAAGGATTCGCTTTATCCATTTAAAGGAACTTTTAACGAAAGGACAGCCGACACTCCAGATTTGTAAGCTCCTTTTTCTGTAACTATACTAATTTTGTATCCTATCTATTGAGAGAGTCCCACGTCCTAATTTAGGGAATGATCATAGGTTTATTAAGTAAGGAATACATTTCTATTGATATGAGGCCTTTTGGGGAAAGGCCAAAGCAAAACCATGAGAGCTTATGCTCAAAATGGACAATATCGTACTATTGTGGAGAGTCGTGTTAGATTATAGTCGGAAGACTTTATGATTATAGTATCATTTTCTCTCCAGATACGGACCATTTTGGATATGTACAACCTTGATATTTGTGGCTGCTTCTATTGGAACGTTTGTAACATACATAGCACAAAAGTTACAACATAAAGATTGGAACTATGACATAAATTTGGTAACTTGGTCTGCTGGTTTGTTCTATGGCTATGTCACCATTGTTCCTCTTGGACTATATGTAGTCCTCAAGTACTTCTCGGTGCCTTCTGGCCTTGTTCAGCTCTTATGTCTCTATGGCTACTCTTTATTTGTGTTCATCCCAGCACTGGTAAGTCTAATCAGTCCATGATTCACTACTATTACTTATTATAAGATTACATGCTCTTCTTGTTCAATGTTCAAATGTGCATTATGTTTGTATTTGCAGTGTCTCTCTGTTGTTCCTTTGGAAATTTTTCGATGGGTTATTGCGGGCGTTGCGGGATTCATGTCTGCATCCTTTGTGGCACTCAATCTCCGAGCTCACATAATGTCAGCTGGTGAGAGGTGGGTTTTGATTGTGGCTTGTATCTTCTTGCTGCAGTTAGCTCTTGCTGTCATTCTCAAACTATATTTGTTCACCGTAACTGTATTAAACTAAACTCCCCGACCCTTGATAAACATGTCGTAGATTACGCACGAGAATTTCTTTTGGTTTTCAATACTTGTCATGTTTAGTGTTACAGTCATGCTTGTCCAAAGTGTGTTGCTTATGGTCGCATGGTAGATGTTTCAGTCTTTCTTGTGGTTGACAAAGATGTCAACCAATTAAGTGGGGAAAGATGTCACGTTCATCCTTGTCCAAGGCGTGTTGCCTATGATCGTATGTCAGATGTCCCGATCTTGCTTGTCCAGGACTTGTTGTCCATGGTTGCATACCTGTTCTAAACCCTTGCGTAGATTACGAACGAGAATTTCTTTTCGTTTCCAATACTTGTCATGCTTAGCAAAAGCATAATCATTCTTTAATTGAAAACATCTTATATATTTTAAAGGTCAATAGATTCCACTAGCCTTATTACATGTGTTACATGTTCCATTTCAACTGGAACAACTTCCGACAATGCTTTAAGAAACTTCAGGCGGACGAATTCAAACGTACTTTAGTTTAGGGAAACTTCGACTAAGGCCAACGAAGTAAGTGACCTTACTATCGGCTTGGTCAGAAGATTGCCTTATGTATGACACGTGCTCAATGGTCCTTGCATGTGTCATATATGCTTTAAATTATATGATGATGTGACGATGTTATATGATGATGAGACTACGTTATATGATGGTGGTATATGGTGTTACATTATGATGATGATGTATAATAACATGACGATGTAAGATGCATGATGATGATGTGACTTAATATGATGTTATTCTATATTAAGATGATGTGCAAGTAATTAAATGCCATGATACATTATGATAACGAGTTTTTCTAAGACACAACTCTAATTGGTGTTAATGATGAGGAATGTATGAAAGCGAACGTTACTTGGTGTGAAGTGTGAATAATGAATAGGGTGTGTCACAAAGATGATTTAAAGATGAAAATTATTGGGACCTCATGCATTTTGTGCGTTTATATACATCGGGTTACTTCTCCATTTATAATAATGAGTACGAACGCGTACACTATGATGATAATGAAGATGATCATACCTTGCATGACAATTGGGGTTTGTTGACCTCCGGATGTTCGACTATAGACAGCTTGCCCGACTATGATGGGTCCAGGGGGCTGGGAACCGCCTGAGGATTGACGCTTACACATGTGGGTCATGTGTAGGAAATTACTACACATACAATTTTGTCTGGACTAGAGGGCACTTCTAAGATGATTTTAACGATAGGTCCGTAATCATGAGTTGTATGTATTTGCATTCTCTGACTCCAATAGTGAGGTCACTTATGGGGTATTTCTTAAAACACGCAAGCCGTGTGCTACATCTATTTCGAGTAAAGGCAAGACACCCTTGTACAAACGACATTGCAAGTAAACACCATGACACGTGCATAGGATAGTGATATTTCATTTCTTAGATTGTAGGATAGTATAGGGTGTTTTTAATTTTAACTTTTTATTTGTTTTATTTAATATTTCGTTAGGTTACTTTAAAAATGTTTCCAAACATGTAAGTCTATGACAATATTTTATGACCCTAAATCTAGGATTGTTACATACTCCCTCCGATCCCGTCATAAAGTATTCTGATTCAACTGCTTATGTTCTTCACTTATGTTCTTCGTCAACGTTTCAAGATGATCAGGTTCCGCCTGATTGATCACATATACTCATTTTAAAGACAAGATGTTTGACAACTTCTCTAACGTACTTTGACTAGTGAAATTAGGCGAAAATTCGCAAAATGTGCGGTGCCAAAATTGCTATGCGGTAAGGGAAAGATTTAGACACTTTCTTTACTTAATATTTTTAGAAAGACTAAATATTAAAAATACTTGGTAGAAACTTCTATTCTTGGGTTAGATTTTGAAGCTCTACAAATCATTCAAAATTGGTCAGCTCTCGGGTACACAAAAGTATCGCAAAGTATAAAATTTTAGCACTTGGAGACAGACAATTGGCCTCAAGGCCACCTCATAATGTTGTACGTCGAAAGCGGAACAAATGTACTCACAACACCAATGAATGGAATTACACAAAGAGACACCAAGATATTTACATGGTTCGGAGAGAAGAAGTTCTCCTACATCCACGGGTAGCAACCAATCACTAATGAAAAAAAGCGTTACAAGGAATACTACACCCTCACCACTATGTCACTCAAGAAATACAATATGACACACAAAACATTCCCAAATCTCCATATCAAATTCCGATAACTAAATCGGGTACGACTAAATCTAATTCAAATAATCAAATTAAATCTAATTCAAATAATCTAATCAAATCTAATCCAAATAACCAAATCAAATCAAAACTTATGATAATTTATAACAATCTTCACTTCGTCATTCTCTAAGTTGATAGCTGAGTTGGTTGCTACCACGTCAACACATTACTCATTTCTTCCCACGTTGATGAAATCCAAACAATGCTAGAACTTTTCACGAGCGATCATCTTTGTCAACATATCAGCAGGATTATCATCAGTTCCAATTTTAATAAACGAATGTCCCCTTCACTAATAATTTCTCGAATAAAGTGAAAACGGACGTCAATATGTTTAGTACGAGCATGATGGACTTGATTTTTTTTTATAAACAAGTAGCACTCTGGCTATCACAAAACACATCTATATGTTCCTTGCAGGTTTTCGAATTTTCCTTCGTGGTCTATTCCTGGCGATGGACTCAGGTTCCTCCACTCTTTCATTTACAAGGCTTTGCTTCTCAAGGCTTTGCTCCTCCTGTTCTAAAACATCAGAGTTATTATCTACCTGATCAATAGGTTCTTCAGTAGGAGCAACCATATCAAGAGAGAACACCACCTGCTTCAATGTTTCGTCATTATTTTTAATTTTCTGCAAAAAAATTCCAGACTCATCAAATGTCACGTCTTGACTATTAACAATCTTATTTGTTTCTGGACACCATAACCTATAGCCCTTCACGCCTTTGCTAAAGCCCATAAACTTGACTTTTTTTTTTTTTTTTTTTTTGCTCTAGGATCCCGTTTTGAGTTTGTCACATGATAATAAGCAAGACACCCAAACACATGCAATTTATCATAATCACTAGCAGGAGTACCTGACCATACCTCAAGCGGAGTTTTCCCACCATTTCTATAAACAGGTAAACAATTCACCAAGTGAACCGCATAACTAAGAGCCTCAGCCCAAAATGCCTTACTCAATCCTGCTTGAGACAATATGCATCGAACCTTCTCTATTAATGTCTGGTTCATTCTCTCAGCAACTCCATTTTGTTGTGGCTTACCAAGAACAGTGAAGTATCGAACGATCCCTTCATTTTGGCACACTATATGAAATGGATCATAAGTATATTCTCCACCGTTGTTTGATCTTAGCTTTTTTGATTTTCTTGTCCGTCTAATTCTCTACCATTTTTTTCCACTCTAGGAAGAGTTGGAGAACCTCGATTTTGTGCCTCATGGGATACATCCAAACTCTCCTCGAGTAGTCATCAATAAAGGTGACAAACCACCTCTTTCCTCCCAATGAAACATTCTTCGTGGGGCCCATACATCAGTGTGAACATAATCCAAAATGCCCTTTGTTTGGTGTATAGTTGTACCAAACTTCACATTTTTTTTTGTTTACCAAATATACAATGTTCACGGAAATCAATTTTACCAGTTGTGGCACCCTTAAGGACTCCTTGGTTCACCAATGTCTGAAGCGCCTTCTCACCAGCATGCCCAAGTCTCATGTGCCATAATTTCGATATGTCTTATTCTTTCGAACTTGCCACAGCAGCATGCCCAATTATTGTGGTTCCGTTGAGGTAGTATATGCTACCTCTTCTAGTTCCTTTAATTGCCACCAAAGCTCCACGAGCTGCTTTCAAATTCCCTCCTTCCAAAATAATACGATAACCACTTGCATCCAAAACGCCAAGGGAAATCAAATTTTTCTTCAACTCAGGGGCATATCTCACATCATTGAGTTTTTGTATAACCCCGTCAAACATCTTGATTTGTACTGAGTCTTCCCGTCATCTTGCAAATACTATCATTGCCCATATAGACAACTCCACCATTGAACTCTTTGAAGTCCAAAAATATCTCTCTGTTGTGACACATATGATAGGAGCACCTAGAATCAAGAATCCATTCACTGGTTTGGCTGACTGATAGGGAGGTTGTCAATGCATTATCTGTATCAGTGTCGTCATCTCTAACCACAATGGACTTCGACCTCTTCTCTTTTAAGGTCGGACAATCTTTCTTCCAATGACCTTTATGTCGACAATATGCACACTCATTTTTATCAAGTTTTCTCTAATTATCAGATCTACCTCTCGACTTTGATCGGGAATCTCCACATTCGCTCATTTGCCAAGTAGAAGTCCTTCCACGAGCATTTAGAACATTTGAGCTAGAGTCTTGATATGTCTCATTTTCCTTCTTTCGCATCTCATTATTTATTAAGGCATTTGAAACATCTTCAAAATCAATATTACTGATTCCATGTAGTAGGGTCGTTACTAAGAACTCGTAGGATTCCAGCAAAGAATTTAATAACAACGCCGCCTTTGTCTTAGTCATCAATCTTAACATCAAGATTGAGCAAATCAGTGATGATTTTGTTAAAATCATCCAAATGCTAACCATTGAGATACCTTTTTTGCAGTCAAAACGGGAGAGTTTCTTCTTCAAATAGAGTTTATTTTCCACACTCTTTTGCATATATTTCGCCTCAAGCTTGTCCCATAGTTCTTTCGCCATGGTTACCTTCATAAATGGATATTTCTGATCCTTGCCAAGACTGGATTGAATAATTCCACAAGCTTGTCGATTTAATTTCGTCCATTCTGCTTCTGTCATGTCTTCAGGCATCACCTCTTGGAGAGAAGCATTAAGATCTTGCATGACTAGCAAATCGCTAACTTCGCCTCACCAAACACCAAAATTATTGGTTCCATCAAATTTCTCTATTTCGAAATTAGAACTCAAAAATCTCGATCCACACCATGATTTAATTTCAGATGATTCTGCCATTTTCAAGAAAATAAGTACGATTGTGAGAACGTCTAGTGGTCGATGAGGCCAAAACTTTCACAATACCTCAAATACCACAATCTGGCTCTGATACCACTTGTGCGCAGAAAGCGGAACAAATGTACTCACAACACCAATGAACGAAATTACACAAAGATATTTGCATGGGTCGGAGAGAAGAAGTTCCCCTACATCCATGGGTAGCAACCAATTCACTAATGAAACAAAGTGTTAAATACCTCACTATCACACTATATACTCTCACCAATATTTCACTCAAGAAATACAATGTGACACACAAAACATTCCCAAATTCCGATATGACTAAATCACTCAATCTAATTCAAATAACCAAATCAAATCTAATCCAAATAATCAAACCAAATCAAAGCTTATAACAATTTACAACACATAATTCATAGTAATTTCCACGCACATAAGTAATTGTCTTACGTCCAATATAATTTCATGCACAAAACTAAAAAACTACTACAATTTCATGCACACAATTAGATAATTGTCTTACGTTCATACACATAAAATATGTCATATAATGCTCGTAAACACTATTTACATGCATGTAGGTATGTATAACATCACAAATAGTTCGAATTAAATCATAGGTCACACATATTAATGCATACATATCCAATAGTTAGAAAAGCATTTAAAACGTGATTGAAGTTGATGATTGTTCTACTTGAACGTGAATGAGCCGAAGGGGTTGAGCTAATTACCCAGACTCGGATCCAATCCGAGACCTGACTTGAATTTGTGGGTTTCTTCAACTAATAACTATCGAGGTTTCTCCAACGACTTCTTTAGATTTTACCACGAATGTGACAGGTGTTGGAAATGGATCACGATCGAATTATGTCAAACCCGAAACTTTTCGCAACACAACCCAACCCAACCCAACCCTCTATTTTTGGGTTGGGTTCGGATTGGGTCCGGGATGAATTGTAGATTTCTTTAACATAGTTCAATATTGTCATAAAACTAAAGACAATTAAATACCGACATTTATTGAGAATTGGTTAAAGTAACAAAAATAGGAGGATAGAACATGAAATTAAATAATCATTTTTAAAAATTTTACTTTATTTATCCACCATTTATAATTATTCGTATACTATCTTAGATAAAATATATTAAAAGTTTCACAAACGAACACAAATCAATCTATAATTATTGAGAAAAAATAAACAAATTCAATAAAAAAACGTAGCCAGAAAAAATATATTAAAAGTTCCACAAACAAACCAACACAAATCAATCTATAATTATTGACAAAAAAAAAAAAAACAAAAAAAACAAAAAAAAAACAAAAAAAACAAAACAAATTCAATAAAAAAACAAGGAGCGAAAATTGTAACATATTAATATAGTTCAACATTGTCATAAAACTAAAACTAAAGACAATTAAATACTGACATTTCTTGAGAATTAGTTAAAGTAAAAGGATAGATCATGAAATTAAATAAATAATAAGCGAAAATTGTAATATATTAACATAGTTCAACGTTATCATAAAACTAAAGACAATTAAAATATTTTAATTGAAATATGCTTATTTATACGTGACCTTAAATCCTAAACTGTTAGAATAATAAAATAAAAAATAATATAAATAGAAACATGTTAGGTTCAACATTCTCATCAAACTAAAAATTTTATTTATATGTGACCTTAAATCCATATCCTAAACTATTAGAATAATAAGATAAAAAATAATATAAATAGAAACATGTTAGGTTCAACATTGTCATCAAACTGAAGACAATTAAAATATGCTTAGGGCGTGAGTGTCTTTGGACTGAGTTCAATACCACTCTGACAAATTCATTAATACAGAAAAATTCTTAATATATTATATATATATTTTTTTTGGCTCGGGTCAACCAGAAGATTTTACTCATGAACCCAAAACCGAACCGATTCAATTCGGGTTCAGAAAAATAAACTCAACCCTTCCCGTAATGCTAATCCAACCCATCCCAACTCTTATAGTTCGAGTTAGGTTGGTTCGGATTGTCGGGTTGAATGTACACCCCTAATTCAAGCCATAACTTTCTTTACAATTATCCTAAATTTGGTATAGGTTAATATATATATATATTTTTTTTTACGCCAAGCTTATTAACTCACCATGGTGTATGTTTGTCAAAGAGCTTCGAAGAAAAGATACACATAATTCATACACATGGTTGTTTGTTTCCCCTCGTTGGAGAATGTCATGTTAGTGTACAATCCTAAATTATTGGAGTTGGGTTGGGTTGGATTAACATTTTAAGTTGGGTTACAATAATTTTTGAGTTGGGTTGGGTTACCAATCCAACCAACTCGAACTTTTGGGTTGGCTCAAAAATTCCCGAACCTGATTCACGTACACTCCTATACCTATGACGATTAATATATAATAAGATATACTAATTTATTTAGTATGATTACATTGATGAACCTTGTTTGAAATCCTTACAAATTGTGATTTTTTTTAGGGTTTGTGATATATTTTCGTTAAAATTGTCCCGAATGATTATATATCGTGGGTATAATTTATTTTTAAAAACAACCTAATTCAATCCAACCCGATAGGGTTAAGTAGGATCGAGTTGTAAAACAATTGTGTTATTTAGGTTACCAATGCTTTAAACCCAAACCCAAAAGCCTTTTCCCTCACCTCATCAAAATAACAAAAGAACAAACAACCCTAAGAAACCAACCATGATACCAATGCAACCACCCCGGGCGACAACCAAAGACGAAGATCCACCGTTAGCAAAGTTCCCCGTCGACGTATTGGTGCTAAGAACGAGGACGATCCAATCGTCAGACGTCCCGACCCCAGCACCCGTAAAGTTCTTACTGTTAATATAATCGACGTCATGGGATTTGGTATAGTTATCGGCGACGGACTTGGGATCGAGGTGGGGGACGCAAGCGGGGAGCATGATGCCATCAACGGTCGAGTTGTAGGCTATGTGACACTTCTTCAAGAGCTTAAGAAAATCTGCAAGGGTATTTTCAGAGTTGATTTCTTTGTGGAAATCATCTGGACTTGAACAAGGCTCATCTCTTAGCTTATAAACGAACCTGCTTGCTAAACATGCTGCATTTTTGTTATGAGTAAGATTAGATAGGTGCTTTGATTGTCTGTAATTGTTGATGGCGTTTAGAATCTCTGTATCTTTCACTGCACAAGAAAACTAAGCCATGTGAGGCATTGGTTATGTTTAGTGCGGTGTCCATGTAACTTCATTAACAATATGAAACACTAATTAAATTCGCTATAATTTATTTGTCGAGATCTACCTCGAACGGCCTAAATCCACCGCTAGCGGATATTGTTTTTCTCTGGGAGACTTCCCATCGAAGTTTTTAAAACACGTACGCTAGAGAGAGGTTTCCACACCCTTATAAAAAATACTTAGTTCCCCTCTCGAGGCCCAATGTTCTCCCTAACACACTGTTAGGACTCACCGCTAGTCGATATTGTTTTCTTTGGGAGACTACCCATCAAGGTTTTTAAAACACGTATGCTAGAGAGAGGTTTCCACACCCTTATAAAGAATGCTTAGTTCCCCTCTCGAGGCCCAATGTTCTCCCTAACACACTGTTAGGGCTCACCGCTAGCCGATATTGTTTTCTTTGGGAGACTACCCATCAAGGTTTTTAAAACACGTATGCTAGAGAGAGGTTTCCACACCCTTATAAAGAATGCTTAGTTCCCCTCTCGAGGCCCAATGTTCTCCCTAACACACNCCTAACACACTGTTAGGACTCACCGCTAGTCGATATTGTTTTCTTTGGGAGACTACCCATCAAGGTTTTTAAAACACGTATGCTAGAGAGAGGTTTCCACACCCTTATAAAGAATGCTTAGTTCCCCCCTCGAGGCCCAATGTTCTCCCTAGCACATTGTTAGGGCCCAACTTCCTTGCTGGGACACTACCCGATGTTCACTCCTTTTGGGGCTCAGCGTCCTTTCTTGCTCACCGTTCGTTATTTGGTTCTGGTACCATTTGTAACGCCCCAACCCAAGCCCACCGTTAACCGATATTGTCCTCTTTGGGCTTTCTCTTTCGGACTTCTCCCAAGGTTTTTAAAACGTGTTTGATAGAGAGAGATTTTCATACACTTACAAAGAATGTTTCGTTCCCTCTTCAACTGATGTGAGATCTCACCAAATCTACCAAAGATCCTAAAGATATTCGATCCGGAACTATTATATGTCCAAGGTCCAATATTGAAATAATTTTACACATTTCCTTGACTTTGTCGGTGTCAACAAACAATTCGAAATGCCTCGACTTTTTTATAACATGTTCGAGTCAAATAGTAATGATTCGAAGCACCTCTTTTTACACTATTTCAAAAACTACTTTTAAACTGAGAATGAGAAAGGGAGTGGAGATATATATCTCAAGTAGCTAAATAGGACTCGAAACATGGATACTATTCTTTGCCCCGTCCATTAAATGAAGTGTGGAATAAGTAATTGTAATATTGAAATTTGAGTTCTTAGAAATTATATTATATTTTGATTTCTAAAATATTATTAAATTTTTTTGTATGGTATATATTTTTGAAAAAATATATAAAAAGGGAAAAAAATTCTTCGGGATAAATTCAATCCATACGAAAATAAATGAGAAACTTCGAAGAACGAGGATGAAGAAGGATTACCGTTCCTACCCCTCCTATCCCGTAAACACCTTTAATCTTATCTGTTTAAGCTATCAAATTGAATGATACATAAACGTCATATCAAAATAAGCGATTACAACATGCAATATTCTTCGATGAATAGCTACAAACGTTAAAAGAAAAATAACGATGAAAATCATACCGTCACAAAGAACAGCATTGGGCAGAAGGAGGAAGGTGGCGATGACAGCAAAGAAGAACAAAGCAAACACTCTCATATTTGTGGGAAACAATTCACAAATGAACTGCGAACCCAAAGCAATAAAAAGAGGCGAAGAACATAAAAGTGTGTGATAAAGTTGAGTTTCCATTGCTATAAATATTATAATTGAACACTTTATTTTGTGTGTTTGCTTTAGAAGTTGGGTTTTAGATTCCCATTTTGAATACTCATAAGTGTTCTAAAGGAATACTCGAACAAAAAGAGCATCATTTTGGCTATCAAACTAAGGCTTTGTTCATGTCCTCAAACCAAGGCTTGGTATCATAACTTTAACTTTTTCGCTTCCTTCTTTATAACAACGCATATGCAATCATATGCAATCATATCGATCTTTTGACTTTGAGAAGCTGGGCGTTTAAGAAATTTTATGACCCAAAAAACTCGATCGATTCAACGTAATTCGTATTGTTTGGATTAGGTTATTAACTTGTTAAGTTGAGTTTATTTGAGTTAATTTTAGTTGAGTTTGAGAAGTAACGATGTTCGTGTCGGTTCTGGGCGTTCAAAAAATTTTATGACTAAAAAAACTCTGATCAATTCAACCTAATTCGTATTGTTTGGATTAGGTTACGAACTTGTTAAGTTGAGTTTATTTGAGTTAATTTTGGTTGAGTTTGAGAAGTAAGGATGTTCTTCGAGGGCTTTCCTAAAGCTATATCTTATCTTTTGATTATTTGTGTAACGACCCAGATCCACTGCTAGCAAATATTGTCTTCTTTGGGCTTTCCCTTTCGGGCTTCCCCTCAAGGCTTTAAAACGCGTCTGTTAGGGGAAGGTTTCCACACCCTTATAAATGATGGTTTGTTCTCCTCCCCAACCAACGTGGGACATCATAATCCATCCCCCTTCAGGGTCCAACGTCCTCGCTAACACTCTTTCCTTCCTCCAATCGATGTGGGACCGCACCCAATTCCACCCCCTTTGGGGCCCAGTGTCCTTACTGGCACACCGCCTAATGTCTACTCCCCTTCGGGGAACAACGAGAAGACTAACACATCGTCCGGTGTTTGGCTCTGATACCATTTGTAACGACCCAGATCCACCGATAGCCGATATTGTCCTCTTTGGGCTTCTCCTCAAGGATTTAAAACGCACTAGGGGAAGGTTTCCACAACCTTATAAAGAGTGGTTTGTTCTCCTCCCCAACCAATGTGAGACATCACAATTTGTTCTCCAACACTTATTTAAAATAAATTTTTATTATTTCAATGTCCAGTTAGAACAAATAAGCCCGCTTTCACATTTAGTTTTACATGCTTGAAGGAGTAAGACCGATAGTTGTTTCATTTTTGTGTCAAAATCCAATGACTCTTCCATCTCATTAAAAGATTTTGGAAAAAGAGAGGACGGAAGAACTATTGAAAGTCAAAATACAACATTTTTGTTCACCGACCAATCCCTCGAAAGGGTTGCCGTCTAATGGGTACACGAAAAGAATTGTGGAAATGAAATCCTGATTATATTACGACATGCCTCTTAGATTGTTCCCATTTAGCTTCACGTGTAAGGTAATTTTTAAAAATATATATTCAAATTGTCTCGTAGATCTTAATTAAATGTTTCAAAAACACATTATTTTAATTTTTATTAAAAAAAATTGAATAAATAACGGAATAACCAAACAAACCTATACAATTAGATTGAGTTGAGTTTATTATTTAATAGTTGTTTGAGTTAAAAAAAACATACCATTCAAACCTATTTTTCTTTTTAAATAAGACCGATACTACATTCGTATCATGGTTCCTATACGAGAAAAATCATTTAAAAATAATTCATTTTAAACATTGTTATAAACTTTGTAACGTATCGTTAGGATCTTGTCGTCGGAGCCCGAGAATTCCGACAGGTGCTAGAGCTCTCGGGCAATGCCGGGAAGCCCGCATCCAGGCTCCACGACACGCCAAAATCTCCCCCCACGACCCTCCAAACCTTGAGGACTTCAGGAAAACACCAAAAGGAGCACCAACAACAGAGGAAAGAGTGAGAAAAATAGTAGAGAGAGAAAGAACCCAAATGTCTCCGATGAGGAGTAGAAGAAGGATAATCTGTCGGATCCGGATCTGGGTCGGACTCAACCCATGACCCGACGCCTGCGACTGAGACCTTTTACCCGAACAAACCCGAGGCCCAACCCGCGACCGCGGCCCAGCTTGCAACTCGCGACCTGCAACCCACGCCTCGACCCGAAGTCATCTGCACACGACGTGGCTCACTTCTGTTGTGTCACGTGCAGCAAAAACATCCCCTCAGCTCCGCGGCTTGGCTCGGCTCGGCTCTGCTTTCGCGGCTCTTTCGGCTTATTCGACTCAGGAATTCTAACTTTAATCTGATTTCCACCGCTCCGACTCTCCCGTACCTGTTCTCGGCCTCGATTAAGGTAATTAAGGTCATTTTAGTGTCGTATTTCACAAATGTCAATTGAAATTATTATTATTTGTGAAATACTAACGACAGGTGTAATGCTAAAAAAAATCCATAAAGTCAACAAAGGGGCAAATGAGTCATTTTTCCCCTCCAGCCATTATACGGGTCCATGAATGCCCACTTAGAAGTTGAGAGGAGATAGGAATCGCCACAAAATCTCGTTGGACCACCGCCAGACAACACCTTCAGTCGAGGCCTAAACAGAAGAACTCCTTGCTTGGAAGGATAGATAGGTTCGAGCGGCCGACACTCCATTTCCATCAAGATTATTTGAGTCCGCAAGGTAGGTTCTTGATCAACCTTCTTCAGATCTAAGACCCTCCTCAATGATTCTAGATTTAGATCTAGAATACGAAAGTTGCTCTTCTCAAAGATTCTTACAGTATGTTCAAATACGAAGGTTACTTTTTAAGATCTGTGAAGAAACTTGATCGAAAAGGTGACTGAGATCAGAACCCCGAGAAGTCATCCAAGAACAGTAAGAGAGAAAGAACCTCTTTCTGACGATCATATCTCGTTCTGTGTTAAAGTAAAATTTAAGAAAAAATTACCAAAATGTAGAGTGAGTTTCCATCTAGAACTTTGTTGAAGGGACCATATGGAAACGAATTGGTTGGAGGAGGGGAGAGAAATTTGTTTTTCGGTAGCCACGTGTTGACCGGTGGGTGGTGAAGCGTGGCTTGGCAGGTGGAGGACATGCAGTAGGCACCGATTGGAGCAACGCAGCCCTAGCAAAACGGCGACACGTGTCGCCTGGGAACCCTACCTGACTCTAGATCCACAGATCGATTCGACCCAACTTGCAACTCATTGGCCTAAACCAACCTGCGGTCCAACCGAGTGAATTGAACCAGCTAACCCGCAACCAAACCGACCTGAACCGGCCCAAGTGAACCGCGATTATACTGAAAGTACCCGCGCGTGGTACTCATGTGTGCCGCCTGCGACTAGGCTTCTTCCCGGCGCGTGTAAGGTCTATTTTACTTCGTTTGAATTGTCTTAGTGTTCAATTATGCTTTAAGCTTGCGCTATATATATGTATGTGTTTAATTCATGCTGAAAGGAGGATGAGAATTTGTGAATTCTGCGCTTCGGGAGCTTGATGGATGTTATCACCCCGTTGAGCATGTATGTTTATTTTTGTATGAATTATGTATGATGATGTTGGATAACAGTTGTATGCACACTCAGTTAGTTTTCATGATCCACTGTAATGATAAGTCTAGGGTTTTGTGGTTAGAGTGACAAGTCACTAAGTATAGACCTAATCTTTCCTATAAGAGTCTAACAAATCACCACGGCATACAAACAACCTCAGGATTACCCTTACTCACGGTACCCGAGAGTTCATAAGGGTACCTGATCTATAGTGATGCATCCAAGAAGGAACTGTGATGTATGTTAATGCAATACAGGAAGGTCGTTGCATACGCGTCCCATCAACTAAAAGAATACGAAAAGAACTACCCTACCCACGACTTAGAGTTGGCCGCCATAGTGTTCGCGCTAAAAATTTGGCTTTCCTACCGATATGGAGAGAAAATCCAAATTTTCACCTACCACAAGAGTTTGAAATATTTCTTCACCCAGAAAGAGTTAAACATGAGGTAAAGAAGGTTGTTAGAATTGGTGAAGGACTACGACGTTGTAACAACCTAAAATAATGATAATATGTATTTTGTATGTATGCGTTGTGTGTTTGATGATGATGATGATGATGATAATAATAATAATAATAATAATAAATAAATAAATAAATAAATAAATAAATAAATAAAAAAAACGAAAACGAAGCAGCTGCGTCAAGTAGCTGTTGTAAAGGAGGATGAGGGGCGGCGGACGCGTAGACTGGAGGCGTGGGATGGATGAGTGGATGATTAGAGGAGGTGGAAGCGTATTAGGGCTGGATTAAGCTTTAAAAAGGAAGAAAAACGAAGATTGGTGATTCGCGAAAAACCCAGAAAACAGAGGAGGAAATTTTCTGAGAATTCGAGTTTTGGTTGCTTAAAATTGGACATCAATCGAGGGTAAAGGAAGAGGGGTTGTTGCTGAGGAATCGTTTGAGGAAGGGGATACAGCCACGAGCTGAATCGGACGGTAATTCGAAGGTAACGAAAAAACCCACATCACCGAACCTTTAAATCTCGATATCTTGATTCATACTGCATAATAAGTTATGAAATAAGGCTTGTTAGAACCATAATTAGAAGATCTATAAAGTTGTAGAAGAAATCAGAACGAAATTCGAGCTGTAGAGATGAAATTTTTACTTCGGGACACAACGGGTATTAAAGGAAAAGATTGGGGAAAATTGCAGAGAGGAGAGGTTGAAGACGAGCGCGTGAAGGACACGCAAGGCGCGTGGGAGGCCGCGAGTGGAAGTGCGACTGTGCGCGGGTCAGGCGCGTGAGAAACGAACCCCGACCTTGTGTTGGCGCGTGAGGGCGCGTGAGAAGGTATTTTGGCTCCCGGTTTGTCCCGTTCGACTCCTTTTGACCTGTCCTATCAAAATTGGTCTATACTTATGTTGGAATTGATAAAATATAGGTCTAATAGGAAGGAATTGTGTTGAAATACTATTAAACGTACATTCAAGGGGGAAAAGGAGTTCGCAACCAAGTAAGTAGCGTATCGACCTTTGAACTAGTTCTTAACTTGTTTTACAACATGTGAGTA